GGGCAAAATACTAAATTGTATTCTGTTGTTTCGGTTATTTTTTGTCGACATTCCTCTGTTGGCTGTCAGGAGAGATGTAGGAACCCAGAAAAAAAAAAACAATATCTGCTGAATAACGTTTCGCCCGCATTTTTAATTGAATTGCAAAATGAGTTTTGAGTTTGGCGTTTTTAGTTTTGTATCGCCGTTTTTTTTTATTTTTTTCGTTCCTTTCTTTTCGCGATCAATGAGAAATGGGCTGCCGCTTGCGTTGAAAGTAAAAAATTTAAATTAGTTTTTTAATTAGAAATTTGTGAACTAATTGTTGTTGTTGTATTATTATTGCTATGCACAATAAACTTGAATACCTGCCAATGATGAGCCTCCGGCGTAATTCATTTGATTATGATGGCGATTACAATGTTGTCGGGCTATTGTTTTAAATCGTTCAATTTGTTGGCAATTAAATGCGGTTTTTTTCGTTTAATGGACATTTTTTTAAAATCCAATTAATTTTGAATATGTAGGAAATAAAAACCCCTGTTTGAGGAAAGGATTACTGGAAGTGCGTAAAATTAATTAATTATGGAAACAATGAATGGCATTTGTAAAAAAACAAATTTGAGGGGATTATGGCTAAAATCCAGCAGAAACCGGGAACACGCGAATATAGAAATTTGGAGTTTTTGCCGGTAAGGTGAAAGATAAGATACTTCGAATCTACTCAGCAGAAACATCGATGTTGTATGAGCCGAATAACACAAAAGAGGTAATGTCACCAAACTATCTCCTGCATTATCAAGAGGTCAAAAAACATTGGTTATTCCTTCAAAATACAAAGCAAAAGAAATTACTTTTCACATCACCAAGTAAAGGGTAACATAGGCAGAGAGTTACAATTGCCAAAATAAATCGATTAGAAATCCCTTTATTTGGTAGAGAAAGATTTACGTAGTTGATTGCAATACAAAATAGGGAATATAAAAAACTATTTCTTTCATAACACCCTCGCATAATTTGTCGAAACCACACCATATATACAGGGTGAGATGAAAAAACTGATACCAGCTTCAGACTGCCAAGACGGTCCAAGTTTACCGATCCAAGCGTAAGGAAGCAGACATTGAAAGTCCAGGGGTTTTAAAATTTAGTGGACTTCTACATGTTTGGGCACCAAATATACAGTCTGAAATGAATAAACTGCAACCAACTTCAGACCGCTGTCATTTCTAAGCCACTAGTCCGACAACTGTTAAAATTATTCCAGTGACAGCTCATTGTATTGTCTACAAGTGTACAAAATCATTTTGGTGAGAATTTTCCAGCAAAAATGTTATCCGTGATGGAGTTCAAGCATGATAGTGTGATTTCTCCATATTTGGCTGGAAAACCATAAGTGGCTATCGTTAGAGCATTCCAGCATTTAAATGTGAATAAATCTTTTTTGTCTCGTACCATGGCTCGTTACCGTGATACTAGTAGCGTAGCCCAACATCAAGGAAGTGGACGGAAGAAAACAGCAACATCAGCAGAAATGGTTCGAAAAGTAACGAAGCGACTTGATCTAAACCCCCGTCGCAGTGGCCGAAAAATGGCTCGTGAGCTGAACATATCGCAATATTCTATTTGGCAAATATTGAAAGCTGAGCTCGAGGTAAAGCCATTGAAATTCCAAAAAGTGTAAGAACTTACACCGCAAACGAAAGAAAATAGACTCAAAAGAGCTAAAGTGTTGCTTCGCTTGGCCGCGAGTGGTGAACTGCCTAATTTGGTTTTCTCCGATGAGGAAATATTCGTTGTCCAGCAGTTTGTAAACAAACAAAATGATCGTGTTTACGTGCCAAAGAGGTCAGCCGAAAATGTGCAAATTCGGGTGACCACCAGAACTCAAGCGCAGGCCATGGTGATTTTGTGGCCCGCCATAACAGCCGTTGGTCGCTCTTCGCTCGTATTATTCTACCGTGGCATCAGAATAAATGCCAAATATTATCGCGAAAATATTCTGGGGGGTGTATTAAAGCCTTGGGCACGCAAACATTTCGGCCGCAGACATTGGACATTCCAACAGGACTCAGCACCATCGCACTCCGCACGCGCCAACCAAGAATGATTACAAAATGAGGTTCCTCGCTTCATTTCCAGCGCACAATGGCCGCCAAAATCTCCGGATACCATTCCGTTGGACTATTGTGTCTGGATTATTTTGGAAAGCAAAGTTGGCACTAAAAAATACTAAAGTTTCGTCACCTCAAGCAAGCGCTTCGCTGGGAATGGGCCAAAAAGCCTCAGAGCAACATTCGGGCAGCGTGTGACGGTTTCATTGGCTATTTGAAGGCCATAATTCGTGCCAAAGGTGACCAATTCGAACAAATCGAAGCTTATTCTAAAATTTGATGATATTTCCGACATTTTTTGCTTTAATAAAATTCATTAAAAAAAATAATAATAAATAAATAAAAAATAAAAAAGTATTAAGTTCGGGACTTTTAATACCCTCCACTTTAAGGTAAAGGAACCATTAGAACCCATTATGACCCACACATACCAATTTTTAGATATATTCGTGGGAAACGTGGCAAGAATTATTAAATTTCGAATATCGGGAGGTACCACTATATGGGGCTATACGTTGACCTATACATACATTGTTTCGCCAACGGAGCTAGAACCCATTAGGACACACAAATACCAATTTTTAGATAGGTCCGTGAAAAAATGTAGCAAAAATCATCAAAATGTCGAATATCGGGGAGTACCGTTATATTTGGGCTATACCAAAGCCTGGGCCCATACATACAATGTTTCGTCACATGAACTAGAAAACATTATGATCTACAAATACCAATCTTCAGACAAATCCGTGAAAAAATGTGGCAAAAAACATCAAAATACCGAATATCGGGAGGTACCGGGCTATACAAAAACGTTGACCTATACATTCAATATTTCGCCAACGGAGCTAGAACCCATTAGGACATACAAATACCAACTTTTAGACAAATCCGCGAAGATATGTGGCAAACATCATCAAAATACCGAATATCTGGAGGTACCGTTATACGGGGACTATACCAAAACGTGGACCGATATATCTCATTTTCAATATCAACCATCTTAGACACAGTACAAATTGTTCTGCTAAATTTTAATGTGGGGTGTATCGTGATTTCAACAGACAGACGGACATCGTTAAATCGACTTAGAATTTTATGATGAATATATATTCTTTATGGGTTCTACGGCGAATATTTAGGGATGTTACAAACGGAATGACAAAGTTAATATACCCTCCTCCAAGGGGGAGGGTATAAAAAATGTAACAATTATGGCGTTTGACTTTGTTGCAGTTTTTTTATCTCACCTTGTGCTATAAGTTTTACCTTGAAACTGGTGGCGCCCAACGTGCGAAGTAGTAAAATCATAATGGTGTTCCGATGTAATATGTCAGAATTAATGCAATTTCTCGCGACCTATTAAAAATCGACATTGACAATTTTTTTCCTGCAGGGCGAATTAAGGTAGGAATTCAGTTATAATAATCACCTAAATCCTTAGGATATTTAATATCGGTAGGTCCCACTATTTGATACTGCCTCCATCTATCAAATAATGCCGCAGTATTAGTAATTTTTCCATACATGGCAAAGTCCCCCCTTGTTTGCCTTCACCTTCCATTATTAGTCATCACCTACATTTTTAGGATATTTAAAATCGGTAGGTCCCACTTTTTGATACTACCTCCATGTATCAAATTATGGCACGGTATTGACTTTTTTTTTGAGAAATAAATGGAAAAAATTCTCACTTTTTTGCCTTCGCCCCCTCCCCCCATTATTAGCCATCAAAGCTCATAACAAATTAAGTTCCATATTTTAATTTCATTTGGCTGTCGTTAAAATATTTCCAATATTCTGAAGATATGGTTACTTCAATGGCAATAATTTCATGTATTCCCCAATTGGGAAGACTGTCATTTATCTTGTGATGAATGTCACAGGCTGGACAGTAACTTATTTTTTCGAAATTATTTGATCTGAGAGATAGCGCAGAGATAGGCCATAAACAATCTATAATCGAAGAACCACACGCACACATAGCAAGGTAATACCTGGCCATGGAATACACGCACTCAATACTCCTAAGTTGCCAGAGCAACAAAAAAGAAGAAGATGAAAAAAATCGCTCACACAAAAAATATCCATTTGTCGCATTCTTTAGAAGCATCATCGAACACATAACATGACTACTGGAATTTTGATTAGGACCAAATTCCAAAACCGTTAAAAGCAAAGAACCTTTTTTCTTCTTCAGCTTACCTTTCATTGCCACCAATGAATGGGTTTGTCCAGCCATCCCACCATTTGTTCACAACATTGTCGTATGGTCGATCGGCTGGTCTGTCGGTAATACCATCATCATAAAAGCAATTTATTGTTGTTGTTGGTTTTTGTTATGTTTAGGTAGCCCTTATTATTATTAGTATTGTGTGGCGGCAAATGGATGGATACATTTGGGGATTTACCAAGTGTCTTTCTCTCTCTCTCTCTATCTCCCTCAGCCCATGAGTGCTGAGTGCCCTCTGCTTAAGTTTTTTTTTCGTGTCTTTTGTGGCTAACAACGCTTTTTAAAGTTGATAAAGCGATAAAAAATGTGAAATATTTCAATAATTTTTGTCTCATTAGGGAGCAAAAGAAACACTTCTTCTCAAACTCTAGCTGAGAAGAAAAAAAGAATTGGATGGTTGGAGTGAAGAAAAAATGCGGAAGGTCAGACAGACAAACAGCCACATAAAAATGATCAAAGTAATCACTCACAACGTAACAATTATCGTTTTTTTTGTTTGCGACGCTTACAATTAGTGAAAGAAATAAATGTTTGTGAATTTTAATGAACATTTAAATGTCTCTATAATTATTTTTTTTTTTTTGGTGGAATATATTTTACAAATTTGCTCATTGTCTGTAGGTCTTAAGTAAATTTAATTTAATTTATTTGTTTTTTTTTTTTTCGTTTCTTTGCAGATGGTCATTTAATAAACACCAAATGTTCTCAGGGTCATTTCCGCAAAGCTCTGTGTTGCAAAATGTCTGCCGAGCTGGATGTTTTCCTGGAAAGTGGCAAAAAGTAAGTACAATTTAATTATGTGCGATAATATTTTTGGGGGGACCCTGGGGTTTCATGTGAAAACAATTTGGGAACTTTGATGAGATTTTTGGAATGATAGGATTTGAATCAAATTTTGTTTAACATTTTATATTTTGTACATCCTCTACTATAGTATGGAGATTATAACATGCAGAGCACATATTGGCTCGTTTTCACTCGGGAGTGAAAATGGCTCGGGAGTGAAAATTGCTCCTGTTTGAAAATTTAGAGTGGGAGCAGATTTACTCGAAATGGAGTAAGAGCTTTCTCTTAGAGTGAAATCAAGTGCGGAAAAATAGTTTGTTTGCCGATTTGTGTATGTGTGTGTAAAAGCAAACCGGTTTTGATCAGCATACAATTCTATGTAGATTTAGCGCCAATCCAGCCTCCTAAAGAAATGAAAATGTATTTGAGGTGCGCAGGATTTTTGATATTGAAAATCAGCCATAAAGGTCCAAGTTTTTGGTGAAGCCACCATGTAACTATACCAGCTTTACCAAAATTTGAACGTTTAAGGATAGTTCTCTACAAGGATATTTCTTACATTCTGGCAACAAAACCGGCCATTTGGTTTCAATCACAACCGAAAACCAAATTTGATGTAATATTTCCGGTTTTGATGCCAGCATGTAAGAAACACCCTTGCAGAGAACTGTCCTTATAGGTTCACATTTTGGTAAAGATCCCATATAACTCTACCTCCTGATATTCGACGTTCTGATGATTTGTGTTACACTTTCTAGGGAAATTCTTGTAATTTTGACATTCGAAGTTCATACTCAAAATTTGGAGTATCTTCGTAAAGGGTGTCTCTTCTATGAGAAAAAAATCCAACACAGATCCACACCTTCTTATATACCTTCCGAAATTCGATATTTTACCGACTTTAGGCACATTTGAGAAATCCAGCCCTATCTCTTCACACAATTCCGAATTCGACACAATATCTCTATTTCTAATACCAACAGATATACAATATCAAATTAGAGGATTCCAACCCCATCTCTACATTCAATGCAAAATTTAGTACCATTTAGTACTTTTCGTGCCATTATAGTACACATTTCCATAACAATCTTCATATCTCAATTCCAGATGCCAAAAGAAGCCTTAATGTCAAATTTGAGGATTCCAGCCCTATCCGTTCAACCCAATACCAAAGTACTTTTCGTACAAATATGCGAGGCATTTTAATAACAACGCTAAATTTCAAACGCAGACACCATTAGTAATCAAAATATCAAATTTCAGAATTTTATCTCTATCACTTCACCCAACACCAAATTTAGTACCATTTAGTACTTTTCGTACAATTATAGTACACATGTGCATAACCAACTCCATATCTTAAATCCAGATACCAGCATATACCTGAATATCAAATTTGATTCCAGCCCTATCCCTTCACCCAGTACCAAATTTAGTACAATTTAGTACTTTTCGTACAAATAGAGGATGCATTTCCAAACCACTGTCAAATTTCAAACACAGATACCAACAGTAATCAAAATATAAAATTTTAGAATTTTATTTATATATCTTCACCCAATACCAAATTCAGTACCATTTTGTACTTTTTGTACAATTAAAGTACATATTTCTGAAATCACTTCCATATCACAATTACAGATACGAACTGAGACCTCAATATCAAAGTTGAGGACTTCATCTCTCCTTCTTTACCCAATAACAAATTTAGACCATTTAGTACTTTTCGTACAATTATAGAACAAATTTCCATAACAACCTCCATATCGCTATTCCAAATACTAATAACGACCTCAAATCAAATTCGATGATACCAGCCCTATCCCTTCACCCAATTCCAAATTTTGTACCATTTAGTACTTTTCGCACCATTATGGAACACATTTCCATAACCATATAGATATCTTAATTCCAGATTCCAACAGAAACCTTAATATCAAATTTGAGGGTTCTAGCTACCGACAGTTATCCAAATATAAAATTTCAGAATTTTATTTCTATCCCTTCACCCAATACCAGATTTAGTACCATTAAGTACTTTTCGTACAATTATGGTACACATTTATAAAATAGCCACCATAACACAAAATTTGAGATTTCAAGCACTGTATGTTCACCGTATACCAATTTGTACCTAATATAGTACTGTTTAGTACATTTTGTTCACTTGTAGTACACATTTCCTAAACCACATACTTATCACAAACTCACCACCAATAAGAAGCACAAAGTTTAAAAAATTCCAGCTTCCGGCAATAATCACCCTAAATCAAACTGTTCCAAATTTAGTATATTTTTTTATTTAGTACAATTCGTACACTTAGTACACATTTCCAAAACCCCTTTCATATATCAAACTTACTTTCGAACTTTGATACTCATACCAAATTTCAAGTTTTTAGCGCTATCTGCCCACATCAAATATCAAATGGTACCATTTTGGACGTTTAGTACCATTTTAGAATTTGTTCTAACCCTAGAGTTCGAATTTTGAAAAACCCTTTGGTACATCTATCCTGCACTCCATCAGTGAATCTCACTCCTAATTTCAGAATTCTAACTCATTGTGTTTGTCCAATACAAAGTTTTCAATTTAAAGTACATTTTGACACTTTTGTAACCTTATAGTACGAAACCCAGCGGACAATTGACCGGTGTTGCTAAAATGATAATAGCCAAAATATCACCCTTTATCTGCCATGCAAACGATTTACATCAGTTTTTCATTTCCTTTTAAATATTTTCTTTCACTCCTCGCAACAACACCCTTTCTGGTACACACTCAAAATTTCAATGACAACTGGGACGGCTACCTACTGACCTTCGTAAACTTTATTTTCTTAAGGGTAACCGGATTAGTTTGAGTAGAATTTGGTGTGTGTGTGTGTATGCTCATACCCATCCATGTGTGACTTATATGTGCTTCTTTAAGACCTAAAAATACATTTTATTTTGCCATATTTTCTCCTATTCTCGTCGTTTGTTTTTAATGACACTTACGTTTACAACCTCGTCTAAAACATATACATTTTAATGGAAGTTGTTTTATACTTTTTGGGTTGTTTCTTTTTTTTTTTCTTGTTCTTCTTCTTTTTCGGCCAACATTGTCGCCCATCTAAAACAAGTGTTGTACACAAAAGTTGTCCCTGTTTCTGTTGTTGTAGTTTGTTACATACGTGAACATAACAAACATTTGGGTTATATGCCAAAAACATAATTTTAGAGAAACGAATATAAAAAAACAAATTATAAAATTTCATTGGAAATTCTATGAAAAATAAAACAAAACAAAAAAACATGTTTGCATTTGGTGTTGAACATTTAAAGTTTAAGTTGTCGCAGTTTGAAACAAACAAAATGCTAAATGATCGAACACACATGGCATTACATTTTGCGGGCATGTGTGGCGAAATGTTGTTTCTCATTTGGGGGTTTATTCAAATTTTATTTTTTTTGGAAAATAATATTGAAGTGGCACGTTTTGCTAAACTGCAATGGCTTGAAGGGTATTATATCAGATAGATTTATAATATTTATAAATGATTGGTGTGAGGTTATACGCCAAGACAACTTTACCACTTTTTTACCCCCTATACCAGTCGCAGGTCATATTGGACTGAAACTGGAAATAACTCGACTACAAGATCTGATCAGAGGTCTTTTTCGGTATTGGAAGTGTTTGAGAAGCCCAGTTAATCTGAACGCAGATCTTCACGATCTTTATCGGGGGATCTTTTAAACTAAATAGCTTGCCGTTCGCTGGCGTCAGACCGGAAGAGGTGAATATGTCTCACACTAAGAAAGCTACGTCCATTTAAACGTAGTGATTAGGCTGCTCCATCGGTGTGATACTTTGTTTTGCACTCGTTGTCTTCGTGCCTTTCGTATTTTGGGTGACAAGTCCCGTGTTGTATGGAACAAAAACTGTTAGCCGTTTCGACTACGAAGTCCGACGGGAAATTCTTTTGGTGCCGCGAATGTCATGAGCCTCTAGATTCCCCTATTTTGGGTACAACACGGTGGTTATACTTAAATCGCGAGTAGGCTTCGACTCGATGTGAAGTTACATTCTCAAACGGTCGCTGTGACCCATAGAGCAGCAGAGTTATAAGATGGTCCTCAAAACTCTAATTCAGAGGGAAGTGAAGCCCATATAGCTGATCTTTAAATTGGTACGTGTGAAATAGATCTAGAACTTTGGGTAAGAACTATGGGTAATTACAAAGGGGCGTATTGTGACCCCGGTGCAATGGTGGATCATGGTTGGAAACATCAAGACAGGAATCCTGTAACATACCAATTATTGTTGGATCCATATGCCTCGTTGTAGTTCACAATGTCTAAACTACAACAAGGCATATGGATCCAATAATGTCTGAACTACAACGAGGCATATGGATCCAACAATACTTGGTATGTTACAGGATATGGGTAGCGTGACGTTTGACGTTTCCTTGACGTTTAATGTTGACTACCTTTTGAGAATGGCAGAGTGACTTTCTTTTGTATTTTATTTATTCTAGATGGTTTTTCTTAAAAAACTTTCTTACAGCTTAATTTGATATTATCGGATCAGATTTGGATATAGCTTTTATATAGATGTTATTTTTCTTATAGCTCTTATTTAGAATGTTCATCCAAATTTGTTACACCAGTCCCCAACAGCCATAATATGAACTCCATAGCAACGTTATTCGGAAATGATATCAAATACAGCTTGGAAAGACTTCTATTGAACTCCATCAAAATCGGTTCAGATTTGGAAATAATTGCTATATATATATATATATATATATATATATATATATATATATATATATATATATATATATATATATATATATATATATATATATATATATATATATATTTATCCGATGTTAGGTTTAGTGTGCACCAAATGGCTTATATCAGCCCAAATAAAGTGGATTTTGCACATACCACCGAATTCAGCCCACGTACAAGTACTTCATATTTTGTGAAAATCGGTTCGGAAATAGCTATAGCTCCTATATATATATATGTTCAATCCGATTTGGTGTTTAAGTCTCTCACTCTAATATTGCCAAAATTCAGATTTGTTCAGATTTGGATATAGCTGCCATATACAGGGTGATATAAAAAAACTGCATTAAAGTAAAACTCCATAATTTTTACATTTTTTTATAATTTTATCGCATGAAAGCAAAACATTTTGGAAATTGCAACAAATTTTAGAATAAGTTTAGATTTGTTTGAAGTCGTCATCTTTGGCACGAATTATGGCCTTCAAACGGCCAATGAAACCGTCACACGCTGCCCGAATGTTGCTCTGCGGTATTTTGGCCCATTCCCGGCGAAGCGCTTGCTTAAGGTGATCTACACTTTGGTATTTTTTAGTGTCAATCTTGCTTTTCAAAATACTCTTGACACAATAGTCCAACGGATTGGTATCCGGAGATTTGGTGGTCATTTTGCGATGGAAATGAAGAGAGGAACCTCATTTTGTAACCATTTTTGGGTGGCGCGAGATGAGTGCAAAGATGCTGAGTCCTGTTGGAATGTCCAAAGTCTGCTGCCAAAATGTTTGCGTACCCAAGGCTTCAGTACACCCTCCAGAATATTTTCGCGATAATATTCCGCATTTATTCCATTCCAAGGTCGATAATAACGAGCGAAGAGCGATTATCGGCTGTTATGGCGGTCCACACCATCACCATGACCGGCGCTTGAGTTGTGGTGACCAACCGAAGGTGCACATTTTCAGCTGACCTCTTTGGCAAGTAACCTCTTGCCTCTTTTGTTTGTTTAAAAATTGGTGGACAACGAACGTTTTCTCATCGGAGAAACCCCAATTCGGCATTTCACCACTTTCGGCTAAGCGATCCAACTCTTTAGCTCTTTTGAGACTATTTTCTTTCTGTTGCGGTTTAAGTTCTTGCACTTTTTGGAATTTCAAGGGCTTCACCCCGAGCTCATTTTTCAATATTTGTTCATCTCACGAGCCATTTTTCGGCCACTGCGACGCGGGTTTCGATCACATTTCTATTTCGAACCAGTTCTGTTTATGTTTTCTTCCTTCCACTTCCTTGACATCGGGCTACGCTACCCATATCACGGTAACGAGCGATTGTACGAGAAATAAAGATTCATTCACATTTAGATGCTGGAGTGTTCTAACGATAGCGGTTTTCCGGCCAAATGTAAAGAAATCATACTATCACGCTTGAATTCCAATACGAATAACTTTCATTCTGGAAAATTCTGACCAAAGTGCTTTTGTATGCTTGTAAACATATAATGTGCTGTCACTGGAATAATTTTAACAGCTGTCGGACGAGTGGCTTAAAAATTACAGCAGTCTGAAGTTGGTTGCAGCTTTTACATCGTACCCTGTATACTACAAAAAAAAAATTAATTAAATTGACGTTTAAAATAATTTTTTTTTTTAAACTTCCTACAAATTTAGAATTTTTTCCGAATATGCTCAAATTTTATTTTAAATTCATTCTCCTTAAAAAATTCGAAGTGGATGTGATCTATGCTCGGTGACTATAGTTGATTTTTATGTCGAATAATTTTGCTAAGATCCCGTTTAAGGGGAAGTTTTAAATATATTTTGAAATATTAATCAAAAAGGTCCCTTTGGTGACGATCGTTAGAGGATCGAAGAAAATCCTCCTTCTGCTATCAATAATATTTTCGAAGACACCGTATACCTTAGAATACTAGGAAGATTAATCCGAAAATAAAAAATAATTAAATAAAAAAATGAACCCCATCCAATTGAGTTGAAAAATGTTTAAACGCCGATACATGCGATTTCTATTTTTAATTTTACTTTGAAAAATTAAATATTAAAAAAATTGAATTATGTCGCTCAGTGTTATTAAACATTAGGTCTTCATTTTTAAAGTGCAAAAATGTAAATGCCTTTTTTACATTTTTTTATGAAATATCACCATTTCATTGAAAGGGATATGCATACATTATGGACCAAATTATTTTTCCTCCATTTCATTACATACATACACACATATATTTTTGCCTTGGCAAAATTTTTGTGCTCATCTATAAATCCCTGGCAAACATTTCAATTTGCAATATAATATTTTTTCCTTACCAATGAACACAGATACATTCATCCATTCAATAGTCGAACATAAGGACAGTAACCTTTTTTTTGTTCTTTTTTGAAGACTAAAAAAATCTCATATTTCGCCCAACCAAATTAAGGATGCTCTTAAGAAAACATAAAATGTTAAGCTTTTTCTTAAAACATAACCGAAACTTGAAGATGCCATTTTGCCAAAAGAAAAAAGATACCCAGAATCCGCTTGAGTAGAGAAAAAATAATATCGAATATCCATAAAAAAGGAAGAAATTGAAAGGATTTGACAGTTTAACAAAGCAACAGCAACAAAAAAAAAAACATAACAAGGCACAGGGAGACTAAATCAGGCATAAAACAGGACAAACACCAACTTACTTAACCACATACAAGGGGACCTTAAATAAATACAAAATTCACTTTGGAATTTATATATATATAGATGTAAATGTATGTGTACTAGGTATGTGAAAAGAATCCCAAAAATTGAGGCTGCATTTAAGCTCTATATTAAATTATCTTAAATATGTGTGGGTGTATTTTTATACATATATATATTTTATACCATAGTATGGAGGGTATATTAAGTTTGTCATTCCGTTTGTAACACATCGAAATATTCATTTTAGACCCCACAAAGAATATATATTCTTGATCAGCAAAAAATTCTATGTCGATTTAGCGATGTCCGTCCGTCTATCCGTCTGTGAAAATCACTCTAGCTTCCGAACGAATTGAAGTAGATTGATAAAATTTTACTCAAATGTATATTATGCCTGCAGGACTTTTGCTATTGAAAATGGGTCATGTAGGTCCACGTTTTTGTATAGCTCCTATAGAACGGTACCTCCCGATATTCGGTATTTTGATAATTTTAGCGACATTATTCACCGAAATTGTTTCAAATTTGGTATTTGAAGTTCGTAATGGATACTACAGCCTAAGACAGAAAATTGTCTATGCAGGTCCACGTCTTCGTATAGCCCCCATATAAAGGTACCTCCCGATATTCGTTATTTTGAAGACTTTAGCTACATTATTCACCGATTTTTTTCTAAGTTTCGCATTTGAATATTGTAATGGCTTATGACAAAAGTTACCTATGCAGGTCCATGTCGTCGTATTGACCCTAATATAACAGCTACTTTCGGTATTTCTAAGATTTTAGCAGAATTTTTAACGGATTCTATTGATTTTGAGAATTGACAAATTCATTCAAAATGGTGGAGGTTATTCAAAGTTCGGCCTGGCCTAACTTACAGTTTTTTTTTTACTTGGTACATATACAATATCATTACAAGTTTTTTTTATCTTAAATAAAATTTTTTCTCGCTTTCTCCCCCTCTCTTTCAGATGGTTCTGTCACTTTGACGATGACAACTATGTAAATATTCCCCGTTTGGTCAAACTGCTGGATGAATACAGTCCCACTGTTGATTGGTATTTGGGCAAGCCAAGTATTTCATCGCCCTTGGAGATACATCTGGATAGTGTGAGTATAATAAATGACAAATTTTATTCGCATTATTTGCAACGCCACCTTCCTCCTCTCATCTCGTATCCTCTCATACAATTTTAATTGTTCGAAATACCCTAAATCAATAAGCTGTTGTGCGGGGTAAATTTATGATTTACGCTTCAACTAAATGTAAACGTATTTTATGCTTAATTTATTTTGCCGATGTGGTCATAATGTACTGGACACAGAGACATTGCTTTACCCATGGTCCTGGTAATTTAAGAAGTTGCCGTTTATTTGGCAATTTTGTGGTCAATTAAAGGAAGTAAAGATATCACGTTACAAGTTACCTTGATGGGTTAAATGAAATACAATAAAATTAATATGTTAATATGTATGTAGGAAAAGCAGCGATGGGATCGATTGAAGTGATCTTTTGGAAAGAGGTGCGCACTCACTCCTTTTTGCAAGTGATGAAAACGACTTAGGCTAAAATCTTAAAAATATTGACGACTACTACTTATTCCTGAAAGTAGGGTTTGATAAGACCGGTATTTGGGAAAGTCGAACTAGAATGGTGCAAAAAAGGTACGAACATCTAGTTTTGAGATGTGCCACGTCTGATAGGAATTGGATGTTAATTTCGCATTTTATGACCTTATCCATTAAAAATTTTGACACTTTGTAGGGGAGGTACCAGAAGGAGTGAACCGATATATGTGTGTTATTTGAAGACAATCGGACTTTTCCATCACATTTTAGAAGAGTTGTAATTATTCAAAATTTTGACAAACATTTTTAGAGGTACGAGGTGGAGTGGAACTATATTTTCCATTTTAACATCTGACATAGCATTGATGCAAATATTGGCTTTGCAGGAAGCAGTAAAAATATATTTTTTGAAAATATCGAGTTACCAAAAGGTACCTTCGATCTAAGTTTGATAATAATAATACGATGTAACAAGCTTGTACCAAATCTGATACTCCCTTCGGGATTTATAGTATTCACCAGCCAGCCAGACGGACGGACGGGTATCGTTTGATCGACTCCAAATGTCGTGGAGACCTAGGGTCTCAAATCGTTATTTCAATGAGACACGTTTTGGCCGTATCAGATGATATATACCCTCTCTAGCTTTTGACTGAGGTGGTATAAAAAAAGAATAAGAAACAAGGTACCAGGCCTTGAATTTTTTTATTTTGTCCTGATATAGGCCTAGGAATATTAATTTCCAGCACCTAAGAAAATTATAAAAAGATTACAACATACGAAAGGCTTTGGTAAATTAATAAAAAACAACATTTAAATAAAGACAAATAAAAAAGCTGCAATTTCGACCGGGCCGAGCTTTGAATACTCTCCACCATTTGGAAAAAATTTGACAATTTTCAAAAAAAATCCGCAACTTTTGTTATGAGTCATTGGAATATTCAAATACGAAACTTGAAAAAAGAACTGGTGAAAAATGTAGCTCATACCGAATACAGGGAGGTACCGATATAGGGGGGCTATACAAAGACATGGACCTGCACAGACAATTTTCTGTCATTTGCTGTATTATCCATTACGAACTTCAAATGCCAAATAAAATAATGTCACTAAAATAAATAATAAAATAAAAAAAATAAATCATGAAAATACCGAAAATAGGGACGTACCTTTATAAGGGGGCTTTACGAAGACGTGAATCTGCATACAAAAATGTTTGGCATAGGCTGTAGTACCTACTACGAACTTCAAATACGAAATTCAAAATAATTCCCGTAAAATAATGTTGCTGAAATCATGAAAATTACGAATATCGGGAGGTTCCGTTATTTTGGGGCTATGCGAAAACGTGAACTGACATGGCCCATTTACGAACTCAACCTGCCTACTGGTAAACTATGTATGTATGCAAAATTTTAGCCTTCTATCTCAATTCGTTCGAAAGATAGCGTGATAACAACAGACGGAGAGACAGATGGACATCGCTAGATAGTCTTGGAATTTTACGCTGATCTAGAATATAAATACTTTGTAGGATCTACTATAAATATTTCGAGGACTTACAAACGGAATGACAAATGACCCTCCATAGAATGGTGGAAGTTATAAAAAGTAGACTATGGAAAATTATTTTTAAAAATTATACCTTCAAATAGACTTCACAAACTATTCCTTGAAAGTTCAGACGGTATATACAGGCCTTGGAATGACATTTTTATTTTAAATTTAAATTGGGGACTTTACGATATCATGGCCCTATATATATAATTCCCTTCCAGGGGTTCTTCCTCATAAGGAACTCTTTATGTGGATTTTTAGAAAAATTTATTTAGAAATATGGCTACAATCATCAAAATACCGAATATCGAGAGGTACCGTTAAAAGGGGGCTATACGATATCGTGGATATCTATACGTGACCTGCCTGCAGAAAAAGACTGAACTGTGAAAAATTTTAGCTTCCTATCGTGGTCCTTGTTGACTCTAGCGTCGCTACAACTAACGGGCAAATGTGGGGACAGGGCTAGAATTTCACGCAGATAAAGAATATATATACTTTGTTGGGTCGAAAATGATTATTTCAATGAGTTATAAACGGAATGACGAACCTAATACTTACTATGTATTGTGGAGGGTATGAAAAAAATCCGATCCGTGAGATAGTCCGTATAAAAAAAAAATTCAATACTGTTCACGTTTAAAATAAGTCTTTCAAACTTTTTTTAAAATTCCAAGATGTGATATAGTCCTTCCAAAAAATTTTTTTTTTAAATTGTCCTTTGTCAAAAATCTAAAACAATGCCTTCGAAAGATGAAGTTTTCTACATTTTTCTTAATTTTAGTGGCCAATTTTCTAGGTTAGTAAGAAAAAAAATATTACTAAACCTATTACGTGGTATGACGATTTTTTCCTGGGTAACTGCACTAAAAATTTCTGACCACTTGAATGTTATAATATTTGCCACATTTCCAACAGAAGTTTCTACTTCCATATTTTTATACTTCCAAATATTGTATCACATTACTGCAGAACTGTGGCAAGAATAAATTATAATTGTCATTTAAACATTTCAAAAATTTTTTTTTAATAAAACTGCTGTTAAACTGAGATGAGCTAATCAAAAGGGAAGATACTGCAAAAAACAAGGCAAATAAATCCTTGTACAAATTACATTTCTTGTTTGTCTGCTTCTTTTCCTTCATCCCCTTCTTCTTCCCCCCATAATTTCATTCTCTTTTGCTCTCAAGTTTCAGTTTTTTTTTAATAATAACTTGTTGTTTCCTTCCATCTTGTGTATCCTTACAGAAAAACACGACGTTGAATAAAAAGATTACATTTTGGTTTGCAACAGGTGGTGCTGGTTTCTGTTTGAGTCGAGCCTTAACATTGAAAATGTTGCCCATAGCAGGTGGTGGCAAGTTCATAAGTATTGGAGATAAAATACGATTTCCTGATGATGTTACCATGGGTTTTATTATCGGTAAGTGTGTGTGTGTGTGTGTTTGTATTTGTTATTGTAGAGATTTTAATTTGTTGTCTTCCTTCTTCTTCTTCCCTTACACAGAACATTTACTCAAGGTGCCCCTTACAGTGGTGGACAATTTCCATTCACATTTGGAACCCATGGAATTTATACGACCCGATACCTATCAGGATCAAGTATCCTTTAGCTATGCCCTAATGAAAAATCAATGGAATGTCGTGAAAGTCGATGGTTTCGATACCAAAACCGATCCGCGTCGTTTCTATTCGCTGCACTGTAAACTGTTTCCCTACTTCAGTTATTGTCCCCACAGATGATTGGATCTTTAGAATAAGAAAAAAAAAATTGTGTACTATTTAGAGCAGGTGTGAATTGAATTGAAACTTTTTTTGTATGTTATTTGTTGAAGAAGGTAACTTTTTGTTAAAAAAAATCTGTGATTTAGTTTATTAATGCCGCAAAGAAAAACGAAAAAAATCAAATTGTAATAAATTGTGCTTCCCGTTAATTTATTATATAAATATTAATTTTTAATATAATCTATAAGTTGTTAATTTTAATATGTATGAATGGAATTGATATAGCGATAATTAATGTAATATGTATAGAAATTGAAAAAATAAAAGAAATAAATTAATTTAAAGTTTGTAAAAGTAATTGAAGAAAATTTGTTTTATACTTTTTCGAGAAATTCGAACCAGTTCATTTTGAATATTGATGACATGTTTTCAATACTCTTCTAAATATTATAGGACTGTTATTTTATTACGACAACACCTAGCTGTAATTCGTAAAACTTAATTTGTAATTCGAAAATTCCACTTACAATTCGAAACATTTCGAGAATTTCCTTTGAAATTTCAATTATAATCCCAATTTCTTATTTTTAATTCTATTTTCCATGTAAATCCTTTAGAAACTATTCAATGTATAATTCAAATGTACAGTGTGAAATAAAACAAGTAAAAAAGCTGTTAGCTCGGCCGTGCCGAACTTGGAATAACCTCCACCATTTGAAACGAAATTGGCAATTCTCAAAAACAATAAAATCCGTTAAAAATTCTGTTAAAACCTTAGAAATACCGAATATAGCTGTTATATTAGGGTCTATACGACGACATGGAACTGCAAAGGTAATGCGAAAAACAAGTAAAAAAGCAGTAAGTTCGGCCGGGCCAAACGTTGAATACCTTCCCCTATTTGGAACGAATTTGAAAAATTTTAAAAAATAAAAACATTAAAAAATTCTTTAAATTTTTAAAAATACCGTGAACCTACATAGACTTTGTTTGTCAGAAGCCATTACCATATTCAAATTCGAAACTTGAAATAAACGGTGAATAATGTAGCTAAAATCATCAAAATATCGTATATAGGGAGGTACCGTTATATCGGATCGGTGCGAAGACCTGGACCAGCATAGACAATTTTCTGTCACAGACTATAGTATCCATTACGAACTCGTAATATGTAATTTGAAACATTTCCGGTGAAAATTAACACTAATATCATCAAAATACCCAATATTGGGAAGTACCATTATATGGGGGCTATACGAAGACGTTTGTGGACTTGCACAGACAATTTTCTGTCATAGGCTGTAGTATTCATTACGAACTTCAAATACCAAATTTGAAACAATTCCGGTGAATAATGACGCTAAAATCATCAAAATAGCGAATATCGGGAGGTACCGTTATATGGGGGCTATATGAAAACGTGGACCTACATGGCCCATTTACGAACTTAACCTGCCTACTGGAAAAATAAGCATGTGTGCAAAATTCTAGCATCTATCTCAATTCATTCGAAAGATAGCGTGATTACAACAGACAGACAGACGGACATCGCTAAATCTACTTAGAATTTTACGCTAATCAAGAATATATATACTTTGTTGGGTCTGACATGAGTATTTCGAGGAGTTACAAACGGAATGACAAAGTTAATATACCCTACATAGTATGGTGGAGGGTATAAAAACGTTACGATGGTTGACACAAATAAATGGTCAAATGCAGAGGATTCCCTATTGAAACTTTCTAATTTGTTTTTTATACCCTCCACCAAAAAAGTATGGAGGGTATATTAAGTTCGTCATTCCGTTTGTAACTCATCGAAATAATCATTTTAGCCCCAACAAAGTATATATATTCTTGATCAGCGTAAAATTCTAAGACGATTTCGCCCTGTTCGTCCGTCTGTCCGTCTGTTGTAATCACACTACAGTCAAAACGAATTAAGATAGGAAGCTAAAATTTTGCCCAGATCTCTCTTTTGTCTGCAGGCAGGTCAAGTTCGAAGATGGGCTATGTCGGTCCACGATATCGTATATCCCCCATATAACTGTACCCACCGATATTCGGTATTTTCATGATGCTAGACACATTTTGCAATGGAATTGTCTTAAAATCCACACAAGTAGTTCCTTGCGAGTACTTTACCCCCTGAGAGAGAATTGTCTATACCGGTCCACGATATCGTATATCCCCCATATAACGGTACCCCCCGATATTCGGTATTTTGATGATTTTACCCACCTTTTTTAACGGAATTGTCTGAAAATCCACACAAGGAGTTCCTTGTGGGTACTTTATACCTCGGCAGAGAATTATCTATATAGGTTCCACAATATCGTATATCCCCCATATAACGGTACCCCCGATATTTGGTATTTTGATAATTTTATCCACATTTTTCAATGGAATTGTCTGAAATTCCACAAAAGGAGTCCCTTGTGGGCATTTTACCCCCTCAAAAATAAATGTCTATATAGGTCCACAATATCGTATATCCCCCAAATAACGGTACTCCCCTATATTCGGTATTTTGATTATTTTAGCCACTTTTTCCAATGGAATTATCTGAAAATCCGCACAAGGAGTTCCTTGTGAGTACTTTACACGCAGACATAGATTTGTCTTTATAGGTCCACTATATCGTATATCCCCCCTATATATCGGCACCTTCCTATATTAGATATTTTGAAGATTTTAAAAGAATTTTTAATGGCTATTATTTTTTGAAAATTTTCTAATTCGTTCCAAATGGTGGGGGGGGGGGGGGATTCAAAGTTCGGCTCGGCCGAACTTACTTCTTTTTTACTTGTTTTTTTATAAAAATACTTATCAAATCCTCTACATTCAAAAGTGTTTTTTTTAAATATCAAAATAATGCGGCTCCTCTCTGTATTTCATTAGACAGAAGAACCGGCAGACTTGAAGTAGCAAAAGAAATTTAGAGTTAGCATTTTTTTTTTAAAAGTATTTTTTCCGCAGCTTTGCACTAAATTACAATAATGTAAAATCCGATTAGTCTGGGCCTTGATGATCTGCCACATATCATCAAAATTTATTGTATATATAGATATACACATATTTTAACACATTATATACTTTTACGTTCCAAAACTTAGGCATTGTTCATTATAGACCCCTTAACATAAAAATATTTCAATTCGAATACCATGCGCCCGAATGGACGACCACACCAGTTAATGATTGTTTATTATTTAGTTGGGGGTTTTATCAACAATCAGGTGAATATTTCCAAAGAAATATTTTATTAGCTTCATTGTTTGTTGATTGGAAGTCTATTAAATTTACATTAAACATCATCAAACAGAACATTAAGTGTTCTGTTCGTCGGGTCCCATTAGGGAAAACGTAAATACAGCCAACAACAAAAGTAAAGAAGTAAAAGTGCCACTTGAACTCTATTTTACCTCAGTCGAGGGAGAGAGACACACACACAACAATAACAACAAAACACAGCCGAATTGATTGATGTCAGATTTAGGTCCAGTCAATTAGATGTATTTAATGCTGCCGCAACGAACCCAACACCAACAAAAAAAACCCAAAACGGAGAAGTAGGCAGAAGTAAAAGAAAACAACGCCATAATCGTCGAAATTAATGTTTGAGAACAAAAAACAACCTCCACACAAACAAACAAACGTAAAGCAAAGTAAACAGCAAAGAATCTCTCCATTAAATACCAACCCTAAAGGCAACAACAACAACAACGAAAACAGCGCCACCAATATTGGCAGCGGCTCCCACAGGGGATTTCCATACAGCCTTAAAATTAACAAACGAACAAACATGAGTCCGTGAACACAACACACGCATTGTCGCAGTAATCCCCGGCACCAGGTGCGATGCTAATCAACATAGCCGTCATGGGATGGATGGCTGAATGGATGGATGGTTGAATGGATACTTTGGGGATTTTCTGCTACAAACGCTTCTCCAAATAGCACAATATACATACATATGCTTATGTAGGTATATGGACTATGCGATACATATGTCTATGGATTTTCACATGAAATTTATTGGAATCCTTTCAATAATCCCCAACATAGAAGGTTTCCGATACACATAGAAAAATTACCAAAACGAAATGAATTTTAACATAACAAAAGCAGTAAAGAAAGTCTTAAAGTCGGGCGGGCCGACTTTATGATACACCACTTTGGTTGAGCTCCACATAACAATTAAAAGTTTTAATGGGAGAATTCAATCATACACGCTAAAATTTGGCAAAGATATTTCTGAGCTGCGTTTGTTATATTTTCCTGAATATCATTGTTAAGGAGTGCATATTACGGCTGTGGGTAACAAATATAACTAATCGGATGAACAATATATATGGAAGCTATAGCTATATCTGAACCGATCTACACCAAATTTGACATACAAGCTTCTAGACTCAATTCGGTCGTAAGTGCCAAATTTCGTCCCATTTGGGCAAATATTAGACGTTTGGTGCACAGTCAAAGGTAAATCGGACGAAGTTATATATGGGAGCTATATCCAAATCTGAACCGATCTCGATTAAATTTAGCAAATTTATTTCTGAGCTATATTTGATATATTTCCCCAAATATTGTTGTTACAGAGTGCATATTACGGCTGCGGAGGACAAAATTAACAAATCGGATGAACAATATATATGGGAGCTAGAGTTATATCTGAACCGATTTTGATCAAATTTGGCATACTTATTTTCAGGTCCGTACATGCAAAATTCCATACTATTCGGACTGATATTACACGTTTGGTGCACAATAAAAGGCAAATCGGACGAAGATATATATGGGAGCTATATCTAAATTTTTACCGATTATCTCCAATTTCAATAGGGTTCGTCCTTGAGCCAAACAAATGATTTGTGCAAAATTTCATCTGGATTGGGCAATAAATGCGAACTGTACTTTGTTTACAAAAATACATGGACAGACGGATAGACGGACGGACGGACATGCATAAATCGACTCAGAATGTGATTCTATGCAGATCATCAAAAGGAACTATGGGGTCTATCTCGTTTCCTTTTGTCTGTTACAAACAAATGCACAAAGACATCATACCCTGACCACCTTGTGGTGTAAGGTATACAAATAAAAGATTCCGTCATATATGGGGTGAGATAAAAAACTGCAAAAATCCAAAAGCAATAATTTTACTTTTTTTAATTTTATTGAATGAAAGCAAAAAACGTCGGAAATAGCATCATATTTTAGAATAAGTTTAGATTTGTACGAATTGGTCACCTTTGGCACGAATTATGGCCTTCAAACGGCCAATGAAATCGTCACACG